ATTCATGAGTTTTAATGTCAGTTATTCTCATTTTTCTCTTCTAATATTCTCAAATAAAGCTTTGTGTTATACTTAGCAATTTTTATTTTTAAATTCAACAATTACTCTATGTAATTACTGTTATAACAATTGAATACAAAATATAAATTCAAATTAAATAATAAATCAAATATTTAACAATAAAACGAAAAAAAATGTTTAACAATTCTGAGTACAACTGAAGTGCAGGACGTTGAACCTTAATGGTAAAAAGTATAATTGTAAATAAAATTCAATTTAATTTTTTGATATGCGTAAATATAAGTCAATATATTTTCAAATTTTAATTTTATCAAGATTTTTTTTTTTTTACTTTTTTTTTTCAAATTATTATAATTTCAATTTTATTACATTTTAAAACATTTTCTTTTATTACATTTTTTTTTTTGTGTTGGTTTTTATTTTTTTACATCACATTTTTGATTTAAAATTTATTTTCAATTTATTTTTATTATGTGTCTTGTTTTTTCTTTTTTAATATGCTTTTTTTATTTCGTTTTTCTTTTTTACTATTATATTTTTTTTTTAAATTTTCATTATTATTACTATTAATATTTAAACTGAAAAATATACTACAATTACTGTAAGAGCAAAATATATAATATTCAAATAAAAGGTAAATTTTTTATTAATTTTAAATTAAATACTGTTATACAATTATATTGTAAAACATTGAAATGTAATACATAATTTTCATATATAGCTAGAGAGTAAGAGAATATTTTTTAATGAAAATTTACAAAATAATTACAACTTGCATATTTTGAAATATCAGTTGAATTTTTTTCTTTAAATAAAAGCTGGAGAAGGGACGGGGGAGTGAAATATGGAAATATGAAAATTATTTTGGACCCATATAATATTCTTTCATATTAATTTATAAAATATAAAAAAATTTAAAATCTTTTAAATAAATTTAATTTTTACAAAATTTCTCTTTGGGAAACTCAGGTCAATTTTAAAAATAATTTCTTAGAAGCAATTGGAATTTTCGGCAAATCAAATATTGTGAAAAGAGGCCTAAAAGCATGCAGCATTATTGATCATTTCATTGAAATAATGCTGCATACGAAAGTTTCATTGCCATGTAAACACGTAAAACATTTTAATAATTATGTTTAAATTTATGTTGCTTCTATTAAAAGTTTTAAAAATCCAAGACAAATGAAGAAGATAAAATTCACTAAATTCAAAATTTCTTTTCTATTTCAATTCTCCTATTAAAACTCAACTTGTTATATTTGTGTTATATTTATAATACTTAAGAAAATAATCTCTTTGAAAATATTATGTAGCAATATTTTCAGAAATTGAAATAAGTTACATAAATTACACTCAAAAATTAATTTTAATTTTCAAATACGAAATTTAAGAAACGGTTGGAAACCCCGCCGTGGTATTATAATACAAAAATTAAAAGCGATATCACGAAAATTTTAAATATAACAAATATTGTAAGTACTTAAAAAAAAAAAATCTGATGTGGTCAGCACATAACCGACCGCATTGTGTATTGTCTAGTTAAATGAAAGTGTTACAGAATATTATAAAAATGGCTGTTAAATACTTCTTTCCAATTTTTAGGACATTAGTAAGCTTATAGTTAACATACTTAGAAAAATGTAAATTTGGCTCTTAGTAGAGTTTCGCTTTGTGCTACCCGAATTCCCTGAAATGCTCGCCAGTTAGTTTCGGTAACAACCAGAACTCAAATATCAAATTTCAAGAAATTCCATCAATTTGTTCTGTGGATATGGTGAAAAATGTAAAATCGGCCCGCAAATCAGTTCTCGAGCCCTGATCTTTCCAAAAAATTTACATGTTCATTGTTTTAATACGGGGAATTCACATATTAAATTTCAATGAAATCGGTTGATTATTTCTCTTTATATACACAAAAATGTATATTTGGCCCGTAGTAAACGTCTAGTTGCCGATGCCTGATTTCTTCCAAAACATACGAATTTTTGCGGACGGTCGAGCTGAGCTTATATATAAAATTTCAAGTAAATCGGTTGAATATTTTCTTCAAAATGTTCCAAAATGTAAAACAGGCCCGCTAAAAAGTGCAGTTCCCGAGGCCTGATATATACCAAAAGTTGATCGATCCGTGCCATAGTGGAAACAAACTTACATATAAAATTTCATCAAAATCGGTTCAGCCGAACTTGAGATACACGCGTGCACACACAGACCGACAGACCGACAGACCGACAGACCGACAGACCGACAGACCGACAGACCGACAGGTTGCTAAAAATAGTTTATTTACACTTCCCTACTATGGAGAAGTACGTTCCCACCGAAAACTCGATATGCAAAATTTGTTGCCATCACATAACCTACCTATTGTTTACACAATACGGTCGGTAAAAATGTAATTATCTAGCCATTTAATAATTTTCTATTAAATTTATAATAATTTTATTTTCATTTTAAATTTTAAATTTTTTTTATTATTAATTTTTGAAAACCTTCATTTTTTTTTCATTTTTATATATTATATTTAATAGGAAAAATTACTTTGACAAAAATTCATTTTATATTGTATACGAATTCCCATGTAATTATGCTTTCATCATTATAGAATTGCAAGGCCTCAAAATTTTCATGCTAATGTTACTATATCGTAACAATTATTAATGAATAAATGTCATAGATTTTTTCCCTTAATGTACATAAATGCATATATATATATATATATATATATATATATATATATATATATATATAGTTATCTAAATGTGTGTATATAATATATATTTATATATAACTGTTTTGTATAATTGTAGTATATTAATGCATAAATATGCATACTTATATACATAATTATATTGTAATATTACACACATACATAATTATAATATTTTAATATCTACATTAACTTTTTTTTTTGAATTTTTTTATTTTGTTTCAAAAAAAAAAAAAATCTCTTCGCCCTTACTTTTGAATTTATTTTTATTTTATTATATTTTTTTTTAACATATTTTTAATAATTATTAATAAATTTTATTTTACAAACATCATCATTAATTATTATTATTATTGGGTCGTTTTTTTTTTATAATATTATTTTGAATTTATTTTTTGAATTACATTTTAATCCTTTTTTTTTTTAATATTTAAAAATTTACAACAAAGTTAAGATATCGCTAATACAGTTTCCATATTATATTTCATAAATTTTTTATAAATTACAATTTTTATGAACTTTATTTTTTTTTTTAATTAATTTATTTACTTATGTTAATAATATTATATATATATATATATATATATACGTTAATTATTACAAGTTTTACATAGTCATAATATTATAAAGAAGATTATTTTAAAGAAAGATATTTTTATTTAAGTTTATTATTATATATTTTATTTTTATATTTAATTCCTAAATTTTATATATAATTACAAAAATTAATGAAAATATTTTTAGATATTATATAACAATATATACGTTTTTATTTTGTTACTGCATTTTTTCTTAAATATACACAAAAACAAAAGGGATTATTTTTTATTTGTTTGCTTAAATATTTCTTCTATTTATTTATAATAAATTTTAAATATTTTATTTATAATTTTGTTATATTCTATAATGTACACGTAATATTTAAATATAATGAGTTACAACTAATTTCTGGAGGTGTTAAAATTACCACTTTTAAAGATAATCGAGTAAGATTGAGAAGATAATTTCCACGAAATAATTATCTTCCGACGTTGAATGAAGGGAAGCGTTTCTAAGTACCTTAATTTATATATATATAATCATAAATTATAGAACTGCAATTTTTTATAATTAATATTATAATTTTTTGATATATTCGTGCAAGAAGTAAAATTGCAAATCATAAAATACATTTTCCTTCAGTATTAGTAATATTAATTATTACAAAATTTTAAATTTTTCTCTACATTCTGTATATTCAGCTTATATAATACACACATGCACGTTGAAGTAAGAAAATTTTAAAACACAAATTATAAAATTAATTCTTTCATCAATTAATTTTCCAAAGGAGAATAAATTTTCGACATTAAAAATGTTTGTTGGGAAAAAAAACTTTATTTATATCGAGAGTTAAGAGTATCGCGAGTTTGAAATTTATATAATAATTTGTTCGAATAAATTTCGAAAATTACAATAAATAATTTGTTTGAATCAAAATTTTTATTTTGATTTGATAAAATTCTTTGAATTTTCCCATTAATGTTCATATTTCTCTAATTTAATATCCTAAAATTTCCCATAAAATTCCTTAATTTCCCATAAATTTCCCATAAAATTTTGTTCCTATAACTGTGTACAAAAAAAAGAGCAACTAATTCAAAAATTCAAGAACTAATTCAAAATTTCAATCGAGGCATAACATGATTTTTTTTATAAATTAGTACGAAAATATACATTTTAAGAATTTGAAAACAATTACGAGTAATAGAAAATCTTCAATTTCCAATTAAAACAAGCTTTTGAAACATACTCTTATTATTGTAGTTCATCTTGAAAACATTATAAAATCTCTTAAATTTTATTCAATATTCTATTTTCTGGTTTCATTGTAAAAAATTTGTTTTCTCAAAATATTCTTGTCATTGTTACAATCTTAATATTTTAGTTAAATACATATGTATATTAGAAATACAATCACACATCAATATATATATTTTTTTTATATTTAAATACATTTTGTGCATATTTCCTTATTTTGTTATTCACCATATAGTAAAAGAAACAAAACAACTCATGTATATTAGTTTGAGTGTCTTCTCATTTAACAACAAAATATCAAGAATTTTCATTGGCATTCAAAAATAGTAGAGTAGCGTGAGATTTAATTAAAATTTTTTTTTTTCAAATTTCTATTTTTGTATTGTATTTAATATGAGAGATAAATGTTGAAGAGAAGACAGAAGACACTCGAAAACTGAAGAAATAAAACAATAGCAAGTATTTCAATTTTTATTTTTTTTTGCTTTTTGGTTGTTTTTTGTTTTTCGCTTATAAAACAAATGAATGTTACATTTCAATTAAGTTTTCAATTAAATTCCTTGAGAAAGGGTGAAATAAGAATATTTTTAAAGAGAAATATTTTTTTTACTTCTTAAACTTTGTAAGTATGGAAGTATGCATGTATGTGTGTATGTTTCTGAGTTAAGATTTTGCTTTATTTCTCGAATTTACTAAAGCCTAATTCACATTCTTAATGTGAAATTTTTTTTGGATATTTGAAATAATTATAAAAATTTAAATGTAATATCTAGTAAGCATGTGGGCATTATTATCGCTCTATATATAACGCATACGAAGTTTTCTCACCATCTTAATGATTACATCATCTACGAATCTCATCAAATATTTTCATTTCCTTTTAAGTGTAGTTGTGTTGTTCCTCATCCACTATTTATAATATCATTTTTAATGTCATTTATAGTTTACTAAAAATATGCTAGTATAGCAATAACACTTCATTTATGGCACTATGTTTTGTAAATATTTCAAATTACACACTCTATTTTAATCATCCAAATGGATTTCTCATTGTTCGATTCTCAATCTTAATTTTTTTTATAATATCACAAATGTATTTTCGACTTTATCATTCATACTCGTATTCTTTTTGATTTGCATTCTTATACACATTTTATGAAAAGGATTATAAGGATTCGTTTGTATGTATGTGTTTATTTTGTTTATTTATTTTGATTTTCATTTTCGTTTTTTGAATTGTTTATTATGCAACTGTTTATATAAAATAGAACAAAATTAAAACAAAAAAATGTATAAATTTAATTTTCTTGTTTTTCTTTCCAATTCTTTTTTTATTTTAAAATTTTTAAATTAAAGTCAAGATCATTTTAAAGACTCTAAAGAAATGAAGAATAAAATAAAAACCAAATGAATTAAATCTTATAAATCTAGACAATGAATCTTATATTTTTAAATTATATTGAAAATATACAAAAAAGTTTCATAATAATTAAAATGAAAGAAAAATAAATAAATATAAAAATAAAAATAATTTCCTGAAGGCCTTACAAAAATTTTACTGTAGAAATCAAATATTATACTCAAAGTGTACAAGAATTTTTCTTGAAAATGAAATTGTAGCATGATAACTTGTAATTTTTATATTGGTTTAAAAATTTTGTATTGCATTTCTTTTGAAATTTTAGATATGCTTAAAAAATACAATTTCGAACATTTGTTCTTAGTTTTAAAACACTACCAATTCAAAATTTCTTATTATTTAATTATATTCAACATTTATTTCAACATTGGATGTTGCTATCATGTTAACATGGGACAGTGCCTAAAATATCATTGAATTCTAGATGAAATTCAAGCTTCAGCTTCACAACAAAATTTTATAAATTCCTTTTTGTGCTTTTACATTTAGTTATAATTAAAGATTATAGTGATACTAAAAAAACAATAATTATATATAATTGACACGAAGAATCGAAAAGCGAATTAAACACTTTCTTATATTGCTTAACATCGTACTCACAGTGCTCACAATGACAGTGCTACACAATGTACCACAATGAACCACTTTTGTCGAAATTCTTTGAAATTATTTATGCCTACCCAATTATAACAATAATTACGTGCTATAGGCATCCTGTGAAAGTATTTCTACTTTTAAAAGCAAAAATATAAATTAAATGATTTGATTTTTATATTAATTTCAAAATAATAATAGCGGACACCTTTTAAATTAGCACAACAATCTATAAAACTTAAATGAAAGTAAATTAATTCGGTATACATTTAATGTATTCCTTTTGCACACGACACCCAAAATCATAAAAATTTTTTAGCCTAGAAATTTCTTTCTAAAATTTGTATGATTCAATAATAATGGTAAATTTCAAATTATATAACTATGATGTGAATTTTAATTTGCCTTACAAATGCAACATGTTGAAAATTGATTAAAAATATATAATTAATGGAATTTTCGTATCCTTTTCAAATATTCATTAAATGCAAATCAAATAAAATTTCAACTACACGTTATATACAAATAAATAAATTCATTTATATGAATTTTAAAATTTAGAATGCTCAACACTATATTAACCACAAACATTCCTGAAATTGCTACTTTAAAATTCAAAAATTTTCAATTTATATTAAACGATGTAAGCAATAATTTTGTTGTGTTTAGTTACCACGATTTCCATTTATACAATGATGGCTTTATAAACCTATTTCTATAAAAGAAAATGTAATAAGGTTATTGAAATGTGAAAATTACATACATAACATTTATTGGCATCCCATATATTATACGTACGTTTTCTTTGATATTCGAGAAATCAAAATAAAATTTGAAAAGCAATAAAATTGCATGGTTTTCGTACAATCGCACTCTCTTAATCGTTTTATTGTTTTATCAATATAATAAAGTGCGTAAATTGTTTATGCTCGAAATAGTGTTGAAGGGAATATTTTTGAGTTAAAATATAATTTAAAACAACAAAATTTAATTTATGAACTGAGCATACCAATAGAGTGTTAAATGAGATTTTTTGTGCTCATTTTGGCAGTACTTGCATGAAGAACAACAATTAGAGTAAATAAATAATAATTACTCTCTTTAATTCCGCAAAGAATTTGACATATTTGAAGGAGTTAAACGTTTTACGTTCAATACAAAGTGGAATAAAAGCACATATGTATATGAATCTTATTCTTCTTTCAACAAAATTTTTATTGTAATTGATAATTAATTCGGACTGAATATCAATGTGGGTACTTATTTATTACAAATAAATAAGTACCCAATACTTATTTATTACAAATTTCAAGCAAGCAAATTTTTTTTGTTGGAAATGAACTGAAAATAAAAGTACTGGGATCTGTTATATGAATTTGTTATTTGACTTGAAGTCGTTTTGAGCTTGTTGTTTGAATTTAATTTCACGTGTGGTAATAGCCCTACAGACCACAGTTAAAAATTATGTTAATTTCATTTAACATTTTTAAATGAACATTATTTAGCTTTTCAAAAATTTCTGGCAATAATTCAAAGTAGCAGAGTTAATGCATTTGGGGATTTTCCCAGAATTAAATCTTTTCTTAATTCTTATGACTATCAATTCATTAATAATAACAAAATACACAAGCTTGAATCCAAGATTAATTGTCATGATCGAAGAATCCATTAAAATAAATTACCATAATAGTTTGCTTAGAATAATTTAAATGTGTGAAATTCATTTTTTAAATTTTTGAAATCCCTTCCACAGAATAATTTTTCCTTTTCATTTATTTGCACAGAAAGGATGTAACAAATTTTCCAAATTATAATTGTAACTCATAAATTTTGAATATTTTCTTATTAATTATATTTTTTATTATTGATTCAATTATTTATTATTTTGTGTATATTTTGAAAAATTTAAGAGAAATTTATAGTAAAATATTGTTAAGAAAAAACTACAGAAAAAGAAAATTTAATTATGTTTCCTTTCTTCTCTATCCCTTTGAATCCTTTCTGTTCAATAACATTCAAAACATGTTCTTCAATTTTTATTTTTCCATATTTCTTCACATTATTTTCATTTTTTTTTTACATTATTTAGAAAGATTTCTTTAATATTATCGTAATTAAATATAAATTTTAAATAATTTCTAAATTTTTATATTCAAAAGAATATTAAATTTTTGTTTTCCGTTTCGAATTTTTCTTTTGTCCTTTTAATATTTTTCATCAATCTCTTTTAATTTTTAACTTGATTTTAAAATCTTTCATTTTCATTTTTTATTTTTTGACTGTCCAATTATATCACTTTAATAACTAAAACGACTTTGGTTTTTTTTTATCTTTTAAATCTTAGTTTAAGAGTCAATATTACTTTAGATATTAAATGTTAAGGAAGTGTGTATGTATGTAATTTAAACCTCTTCTATTTTGACTTACTTGTTTCTGTTTCTTTCATTGGATTTTTACAGGCCGCCAACATCAGGCTCTCTTATTATAGTTTCTCGTGTTTTTTTTTTTATATATTAACTGTTTGATTTTTTGTATTAATTAATTGTCCGTCAGAGCGGCCCTTTAAAAGCTATACTTCTTCATAACTTCGACATTGTGGAACTGGTCCAGACCAATTACCATCAGGTAAACATCTTGGACGTTCTGGTGGACCAGATGAACTATATTCAACAAAACCAGGCCGGCATTGTACCGATAGAAAATCTCCAGGATCATAATGGAATTTTAATGGTGCTATTAAACCGTTTGGTGGATCACCTGGATATGGACACTGTGATTTACCTATATTTTTTTTAAATAAATAAAAGAATTTATAAATTTACATTGTGTGTATGAAAATTTTTTATGAAATAAATTTATAAAAGTTTTGAATTAAAAATATCAATATAACTTTTAATCCTTTTATTTGCCTAATCAAATAAGGTCAGATTACAGGGTATTTTACCTTAATATTGAAATAGGCGTAAATGAAGATCACATATAGAAAGCATGTAAATGCTTAAATTGAACTTAATTCCAATGTATTTTCTATTGATTATTGGTCTTCCTTTTCTTTTTATTAAAAATTTATAATATAGACAAAGTTTAATACGGGAAATATTTAAAAATGACTTTTTTTATACTCTAAACGAGTGAGTGATTTTGAACTGAATTTTTCTCTTAAATAAATGAGGCAATTACCAACAAAAGAAGGAACAAAAATTACATCCTCACAAATTCCCTTATAAAGAGTCAATAGTATCAAAGAGTACTAGATGAAAAGGTGAGTTCTGAAATAAATCAAAATTAGACAAATTTTCGTGGACTTTTCTTCTACAAATGATGTATACCCTGCCCTTCCTGCACATTTTTCCCTTTAAACCCTTTTCAATAAATGCTCTTTCATATTGGCTAACGTATTTACGATTATTATAAGATTTATTTATTTTTTTATCATTGATTTATAAAAAATAATTTAAATTGTCAATTAAATTTCAAGCAGCAACAAAAATTTTATGTCATAACACAAAAAAAAATTAAATGTGTAAAAACAAATATTTTCAAGTCACAGAAAATCCGGCCCAAAACTATTTTAAACCACAATAAATAATAAAACAAAAATATTTTCTTTTCAATTTTCACATCTTTTCAAATATTAAAAAATAAAATGAAAAAAGAAAAATGAACGAAAAAGTCCTTTATTTTGTAACATTACATTTCTTTCTCCCCCTACATTTATTTTTTTTTTAACAATTTTAACAAGTGACTGGTTTTGTCATCAAAAGGATAACAATGAAGAGAATTCGAATCATTCAAAAATGACCAATCATATAAATCAAAAACAACACAAAAAAAAAAAAAAAATAAAAAAAATTCTTCTTTATTTTTCAATTTCAATCAGCATCAATAACAGGCTCGTGACTAAGTCAATATCAAAAAATAAATAATATAAACGAATTTATTTTATTTTAACACAATGAAAATATTTTTTTTTTTTGAAACGTACAATATAATATTATGTACCTATATACTTACAAAATGGTGGTGGATGAGACCAGAACCCAGTTTCTGTACAAACAATACTTGCTTCACCCACTAATAGATGGCCCTCTGTACAACTGAATGTTACTAAAGCACCAACAGCATAACGACGATGACTTGATGAACCACTTGTACCATCAATACGTCCATTAATCGGTATCAAAGGTTGTGGACATTGAATTGCTTCATTTCATAAGAGAATTTTTTTTTTTTAAAAACAAAAAAGGATAATAATCAATAAATTATGTATTTATATGCGAATATGCGTAAATTTGTATAATATGTATGTTATAAATATAAATGTTAATGATATAAAACAACAAAACTTGAATGTGAACAACACAATGTCGGACTGCATTTATGCATTTCTCAAACTAATTTAATATCTGTTGCATTACTCTCCAGATATAATTATCACAAAAATTTTTTAAATTTCAATATCGTTAGAACATGATATTCTTCGACCTAATTAGGTAGGATAAAGTAAAGCCTTCGACCAGGCTCAGTTTCTAAAACTCGCTCATATGTTTTTAATTCATTTTTCTATAAATAAGCAAAAAGAGTTGGGATGCAAAATTTAAAAATATTTGGTAATTGCTACTTTGCAAAGAGTCAAAAACATAAATGAGGTTCGCAATTTTATGCCAGATTTTTCTAAAATAAAAATCTTTGGTTCCTTTTTTCATCATGTTAATGAATCTTTTGTATGAAATATCTGTCAAAACCCTGTACTTTTATGTTAAATATGGAAAAATTAGAATATTTGTCTCAGCCTATTGAAAGAGTGGATCGAATGGCTAAATTAACAAACTAAACTAAGGTATAAGATTTTGTATAATTGATAATCCGAAGAAACAAGAGCTAAACCAATCGCTTAGATAAACCTACATAATTTCTCTAAAAATAATTTCTTTTTGTTTCTGCGAAAATGAAAAATCCATGTCCAATGAAAAATTTAACTATAAAATTCGATATTACCACAATACCTTCATTATTGTAGGAAGTAGGGCAATGAAAAAGCATTAATGTTAACGGAGTGCAAATGAAAACCACTATGAAATAAAATAATTTCAAATTTATTTATTATAATCAAAAACGGCATTGATCATTGTACTTCAATACTAAAGAGGAAAAAACTGACAAAATATCAAAATCAATTTCGAAAAACGTACATATAAATAAATTTTATCTGGTGATTGAAAAATAATTTTTTTTTCCATAACATTTAAAAGAAAATCAGAAAAATAAAATTGATTCATTGAATAAAGATTAGCAGATAATTCGTTAATTATTAGCAACAAGGTTAAAACTATTAAGTAATTTTAATGCCTTTTTATTTTAAATAAACCCTCAAATTACTAAAAATAAATTTTACGTTACAAAAATCAATTTTAAGCAAACTCTTGTTTATAAATAAAACCCCTTCACCGTTTATAATTGACAAAATAAGGCAATATCATTTGAACTAGGCTTACTGATACAAAAATTTAGAGATCTTCACTTTTAATTTCAGGAATATTTTATTAATAGGACAGATTTTCTTATTATTTCAACGTGAAATTTTAAGAACCAATCAGATTAAATTCCAAAAAATAAAATCATTCCTCTCAAATCAAAATATTCCCTTCCGTTTCCCATTGTCATATTTCACCTTTTGATTTATTAAATTTTAAAGAATTTTAAAAAATAAAGTACCCTGTACTCTGTTGGTTAATTAAAGATTTTTTTTATTCGTCCCCTAAAAATATGCAAAAAATTTTAAATTCTATTTTAAATTCGTGACAAATCCCAAGTGATTTTTTTGTATTTCATAGCATTTTCATTATTTTAATTTAAATAAAATTCATAACAATATTTAAAATTAATTCATAATATTCAGAATTACGTACATATTTAAAATATTCAACTAAATTAGTTTCCATATTTAAGAAAGGAATAAATACAAAATATACAAAATAATCAAAATACTGAAAGATTTAATAAATTCAAAAAAGAAATTTACAAAATGAAAAGCTGATAAAAGCTGAAATTTCCTTGACTTGAAATCATTCTTAATTTTTCTGTATTGAGTTCTTCAGTTTTCATTTTTTGACTCTATCAATATTTTCTTTGAATATCTACTCATAAAAACATAATTGTTTCTGTGATTAGAATTTTGACTATGATTTTAATTATTAAAAACAAAGACTAAAACCAGTAATTTTCATTACTAAAAACAAGGATTAGGTCAATAATAATGGCGTTGCAAGAATTGTAGTAAACTTTCTTAAAATTAAAACAAAGACCAAAGGCATTATAAATTTGTCTTCAAATTTCATTATTGTATTTTTGTTAGCTAATAATAAAAATCATGCTTAAATACGAAATATCAATTGTATAACACCAACCGCATTTTAATATTCAAAATTCTATATTAAACCTTCAATAAATTTTAATATTTCTTTGTTCAGTAATGGAACATTTCTGACTTCGTTAAAAAAAACTAAAATTTTTTTTTTTGTACAACCATTTTTGAATATTAAATGAATGAAAACATTAAAATATTGAAAAGTTACCAAGAGACAAATGAATAAACAGATCTAGAATGAAAAACACAAAATTTGAAATTATTTGAAAAATTTGAATTTAAAATATAAAAAAAAGAGAACAAGGAAAAAAATAACAACAATTTTATTCTTTTCTTCGGTTTTTTTTAAATATTTCAAGGACTCCGGAATTAAAAAATTCAAATAAAAAAGAGAACTTTGTCTACATAATAATATCGAAGGGATTTGAAGCACATTTGTTCAAAATTTAAAACAAAAACCACAAATTCAGACTTTTATTTTTCTACTATTTTCTTTTTTTTTTCTGATTTTCTTGTTTTTCTTCTTTTTTGCCAAATTTTCAATCATTGAAATACTCAAATTCATTTTGTTTGAATGAGTATGTGTAATATGGCCACCAATATTTAAAACACATTCTTTTCTGTTTCCTTTTTTTTCTTTAATGAAATTTTGACTTCATATATCACTACAGTTTCGATTTCACTTTTTATAAACTCTGCAATAATAGAATTTTAAATTGACTTTAATATTTTAGTTAGATGTTTGCGTACTTAAATTGAGAATTTGAGTAATATGTTCAATATGGTTCTTTGAAATTATTTTTTATAAAGCAGTGTCAGACTCTCAATAGCTGAATTATGGCAGATTATTGTTATCGCATGGCGATCATAACAGCCTTAAAAGGTAGCTTAAGCAGAACTCACGTAAATATTCAGGAAAACATTTTTAATGGTTTGATTATTCTTTTCTAAGATTGCACTGACCTGAACAACGGTACAATGGTTATTGCACTATTATCCTTTAATGAAAGGGTCTCGGGTTCAAAACCTAGTAAACATTGAACTTACTAGTAGACTTGTCACCTATCTAGTAAACTTAATGACCCGAAACATGAACTGGTTCATGTTCTACGATATTATGCACTAGAATTATGCTTCTCCCGGTAGCGAAATAGGACAAAAATATAAAAGTATAAAATTACATACACTCGTAATTATTGCAAAAAATTTTAATTCATAAAAAAAAGTTCAATTTCCATAAAAATTTTAAATACTCGTAAAATAAATTTTATTATAATTTATGGGTCGCTCTTAGTCTCAAAATTGAAATATCAATGAACAACCCCCAAACCAATAATTTCTCTCTAATAAGTGTAAAACAAAAAGAACCAAGTTCGATTTTCGCCTAATTGGAAAAACCTTAACCAATTTTATATTCTTCCTTGTCGGCCAATCCTGATTATAATTTTTTTTTTCTAGCTTTTATGTTCAATTCCATTTATTGTTTCATTCTCTTTAATATAAAAAAAAATTGATTTCAATTTGCGGAGAAAAAAACAGGAATATAAAAAGAACCAGCGCATTTTTTTTATTCCAGAACTATACAAAAAATCGACATGAAAATTAGAAAGTTTTCCACAATTTTTCTTTGTTTTCTTTCGGGTTTTTTTTTCATTTCTTTTCATTATTATGTTCTCCTGCTGAGGGCCTTTGTTTTTGTTGATTTTGTCAGAAGTCTAGACAACTGAAATGAAAAAAAAGTGAAAAGGATACCAGCAAAAAACAAAAAGTATAAAAGATGCAAAGTTTTACTTCGTTTGCAGATTGTTTTGGTTTCTGAATTTTTTGAATTCTTATTTTTTCCCGTTTCTCTGTATAGATTCTGGGAGATTTTTTTAAGTCAACATTAACTTCATAATGAAAACAAAATGTAAAAGAAAATTAAAATAAAGAGGAAAAAAACGGAAACCGAATTTCATTATGAGCTTTTATGCAGGACTTTTGTTTGTCTTTTCATTTTAACTGTTTATGCATAAAGTAAGAAATCCTTTTTCTTTTTATAATTTTTTTTTTTTCAGTCATGTAAATTTGAAATGCAAAATTTTTCTCATTTAGAACAAAATGCAAGAAAAACCGAAATTTTTGCATAGAAATTCTTAGTATCCTGTATTGATTGTGGCATTCCGCACTTTTTAAAAGAAACTACAAAATTTTTTATTTATTTTAAATTTAAATGTAATACTGGCGCAAGTGACTTAATTAAAACGAATACGAAAAATTTAAATTATTCAAATGCTTTACTAAATATTTATTGTTAGCCGTTTTGCCATTGTTTGTTTCCGGTGATGTTTTAAAATGAAGGTTTTGCTATTTTGAAAATGATTATTCCAATAAATTTCAATTAACAGTAAGTTGTACAATATAAACCTCGTCGACTTATGGAATTTACAATAAGTAACCGCTTAAATATGATATTTGACAAATAAACTTTAATGGATTTGATAATAGAATTTTATTGAACACAAAAATGCCAAGTGCAAGGAAATTTGTTCGCGAAAAATATTTTTTATTAAAAACAAATTTAAGCAGAGCGCAATAGATAGTTTACGTCAAAGCGCATTGTCGTATCCCAATAATCAATCAACAATGAATTTACAAAGTAAAAGGTATAATTATATTTGTAGCAAAGCTTTTTCTTATACTACAAATTCGATCTTATTAACATTAAACTAGAGACACATTATAATTTAGAATGACGCCTTATTTGGATGTGACATTTCATTTGACTTATTAAAAAATGCTTTTGAGTTTTTAAGATTTGACCATAAATATTATTCTTGAAATTGTATAGCAGGTACACGAATCATTGCAATTCAACCACATCCACTTTAAACAGGGTTCTAATATTTACTGTACCACAAACTATTTATAAGAATTCGGTAAACTTAATTCCATTATTTTGAATTAATGTTGTGACAGATAAGCGAATATAAGGAAACGAAAAATCAACTGACAATTCAACACCAAGAAGAATAATATGCGAAAATGTTACATAAAATTATGCAATTGACTGTTAAATTCTTTCAAATTTTATGCACACTAATAAGCTTTTAGTTACTTAGAAAAATGGTAATTTCGCTCTTAGTAGAGTTTCACTTTAAGCCGTCCGAATTCTCTGAATAGTTTGTCGGTAACTTTCGATAACTCAAAACTGAACTCAAATATTAAATTTCATAGCTCCTTAGATATGGCAAAAAATGTTAAATCGACACATGTAGTTCACTCATACCGACAGACTGGCAAACCGAAATCTTGCTAAATATAATTTATTTACGCTTCTTCGCCATGGAGAAGCCTGTTTCTATCAAAAACTCAATATTCAAAATTTCATGTGCAATGGGATACAATGCAATTTTAACAAGAGCTAAGGATAAAATACTTTATTTTGGTCTGAAATTAATTTAATTCCCCGCCCAAAAATTTATTGATCTTTAAATCGGAAAAAAAATCCATAAACTCTTTACACCAACAATTTTATTACATACACAAATGATATTAATTTCTCTAAAAATCTTCTAAATTTTTAAAATTTAATCCTTTTTTGCATCCAAACTTTTAGAACACCTAAACTATTAATACGTATACATATAATTATTATTCAAATACATAGAAGAAAAAAAGAGATCCTGAAGAGCAAGTAAATTGAAATTCATACAAGCTAAACTTTTACTTTAACTTCATTTAAACACCTGTATATAATAAGTTATTTTATAAATAGTTTTAAAGAATATGATAAGGATATTCAAAGTTTTTTTCTAAAAACAAAACAAAAAAATTTTCAAGGATTTTTTTTTATTATTCTCTGACTACATTTTCGAAGATTATTTTAAAAGTAAATTTTGTCTCAGGGAAAAAGAGAGAAGAAAACTTGTTATTTTGCTTGTAATTTACAATTTTACATTTTTCACATTATTTTCATCCTTTCATCACATCAGATTGGTCATAATTTGTACTTAAGAAAATAATTATTAAAATCTGATTCCAGTACTTAAGTTAAATTTTGTTGGGATCTTTATGTAAATTAGGTTTGTTGTTCTTATTTTTAAGCCAAAAGGTAAATAGATTTAAAATTCCCCCATAGTTAAGTTTCTATAAAAATCTAGATTTGTTCTAATACTTAGCCAAATTTAATTTTACATAAGAAAACAAATTATAGTGTGATTAGAATTATTAATATAGAAGATATTTATGGGATTAGCGTGTTAAGTCTCTAGGTTTTAGTTGTACTCAAATTCAAAGTGATGTTAAACTAACTATCCTGATATTCTGAATTCGATAGACACTTAATTTTCTATTTTCCGACAATAACAATTTTTCTTCTTTGACCCAATCTACATACAAGCATTCTCTCATGTTCCTTAAAATCAAATTAATTCCTTTTTAGCTTTCTAGTTTACTTTTAAATCCATATTATAAAGAAAATATTGCCTAAAGGAATGACAACTTCATTATCAAATCCAAATCAAAAGCATTAAAAATAAATAATAAAAATAATTCAAATAAATTGAAGAGAAAAAAAATTTTTTTTATTGTTGTTGCAAATCCTGTAGAAAAATGTATTTGATTACAGGATTATTTGAGAAAAAAAGTTAGAAATTTCAATTCGGTTACTTTAAGTATTAAAAAGATGGAAAATAGAAAATTAAATTTTCAAAATGAAATTTAAGAGGTAGTTTGTGTATGTGAGGGTGGACAAAATTTTTCAAATTGATTACGAATTCTCTATGTCCATTTGGTATTTTCTTTCATGCAATCACATACAATGAACAAATTTTATTTTATATAAAAAAAAAATTAAAGTTTCAGAAAAGTTTCTGAACAACAATAAAAACTTTCCTTCTTTCTGGAAAGAAATTGAGATATTTAAACTTTTTTTTTTGAACAAATTTTTCTTTTCCCTGTTTTCATTATTGTTATTATTATGGGAAAAAAACAAAATGGAATAATAAAATAAAAAATATTTACCTCTACATCTTGGTACTGGACCGCTCCATATACCAGATGGTTCACATTCTAAACCAGGTGGACCACTTAATTTAAATCCCCATTGACATTTGAAAACTGCCCGGCCCCATGCTGATGTATTTAATTCAGTTAAACTTAAATGCGGATCTTCTAAATATAATGGTGGACATTGTACTGATTGACATGTTGGTGGCGGTGATGACCAATTTCCTGATGCAAGACATGTTGAATTAACAGTTCCTTCAATTCTAAAACCAAGTGGACATCTATATAATGCACGCTGACCCAATTTATTCCCTTCTAAACGTAAATTTAATGGTGGAACTGGTTCTGGTAATGGTGGACATTGTGATGTTGTTACAACAATTGGTATACTATTTGTTAATCCACGCGGTGATGCACATGTAAATGTACCAGAATCTTGATTTTGTATATCCTTAATTGTTAAACGATATTTTGTGCCTTTCTCTTCTGGCACTGTTGACCATCCTATAAGCAGTAAAGCGAAAATTAGATTATTTTTTTTATAATTTCATTTTCTCTTTTAAGAATATTATGAATAGGAATTTTTTTTTTTTTAAATTCAGGACGATGAACTCTTATATATTGTTACTTTTATGTAAATTAAATGAACATGTAAGAATAAAAGGATTTTAATTAAAATGAATATGTTTATGCCAATATGGTTAATGTTGAATAGAAAAAACAACGATAATTAGAATTGGATTATTACATATTCTCTGATGACTGCAGAAATAAATAGAGCATCAATAAATGGAAGATGGAATGGTAGAAAAACTTTAATTAAAATTGCCCTATTTTCATTCATATACTTATAGTAATACTAAGCACAATAATCATATATGAATAGAACAAATCTTAATTCATGATATCAAATGCATTCAATAACAAAAATTGTGCTATATGAAAATTTAACCAATAAACCGTCATCAAAAATGCTTATTGAATTATAGAAGGAGTATTGTCCTTTTGGCCTATATAATTTTTCTCAAATTGGATATATTGTATTCATAAATTTTGAAAATTAAAAAAAATTATTAAACTTACCAAAATTATATTGTTTAAACCATCCAGTCCATGTCCATTCTGGAGTACCACGTCTTCTTGGATACATACAATCTAAATGTATTGTACTACCGGGTAAAACAGCTAAAACACCAGATGGCTCAAATGCACCAGATCCTGTACCAATTTTTATTCTTATCGATGGTGGACTATCATCTGAGAAATTTGTTAATAATGTTGTGGGTACACATGATGGCATCCTTGGTGCCCATAATCCATTTGAGCATAATACACGTGATTCACCAAGTAATTTATATAAACCTAAATCTTTACAACGTGCTTGTAATGAATGACCATGTGGTAGATCCCAGCCAACGTTCTACATATACATATATATACATATATAGATGTATATATATATACGAGTATATATACATATTATGCATAAAAAAGAAGAAAAAAGAGAGAAAACAAACCAAAACGGATATCGAAAACGGAAAACTTGTTTTTTTTTTTAGGATATAAAAAATTTTTAAAGAAAATGGAATTTATGAGAGAAACAAGAACAAAAACACAATAAAATGAAAAAAAAAATTAATAATAAAAAAAAATTTTTTTGTTTTCTTGTTGAAGAATGAAAATGGAAGTGCATGTTATTTTTTCTTACTGACTTGTTTTTTTTTTTTTTTCAAAATTTGTCTTTTTTAAAAACTATATGAAATACAAAAATTTAATAAAAGAAAAAAAAGTCAAACCTAAATATTATTTAAAAAGTAAGAAAGAGAGAAAAAATGAAAAAATTGTTTTACTTTCGAACTGAAAAAAACAAAAGTTCCAACTCTACATAAACAATAAATTTTCACTTAACGAACGTAACTGGTTATAAAAAATATGAGAGAGAGAGAGAAAATGAAACGGAATATTTATGATGATGATAAGTAAAATAAAAAAGATATATAATAAGTGTCAGAGAAAGAGAATAATGGGAGATAAAATAGAATGACAGTAAGATCTCGTGAAAAATGCGATGGATTTATGATTCATTTCGTACACTCACATACACACAGAGAAGATCATAAAAGAGTTTTCGTTGAATATTTGACATGATGAAAATTATTAGTAATTTTATTTAATTGCTTGTATTCGTTAACAAAATTTGTATTGTATTACCGATTCGTTTATTTCATATTAAAATGAAATAGAGATCTAATTTCTTTTCAAAAACATTATCCATGTATAACAGTTTCCATATATTATACTATTTGGAATTCAGGAAACAAATTTGGAATTCAGCCTATTTTAAAAACATTGTAAAATCGCACTTTGCTTACAAAACAAATAGCGCAGAACCGATAAATTTTGTATAGAAAAATTATCGTTACAGACTTATCACTTTAATTTGTCATATAATTTCACTTGATATTGTAGTCCTTTCCGTATAATCTACAAATTCTAGTTTTGTTCAATTCCTAAGCTATAGTGATTTAAATCGACAAGTTGTTTAATTAAAATTTCTACTTCAATTTTCATTCCAACATTTTTATTTCAAAACATTCAAGCATTTGCAACAAGGTTCCCTCCTAAACGATAATAATTACCTACAACTTGCTTATAATAGACTGAATATATAGATTTTGGAATGTTTCTTGAAATATTTCAAAATTTAAGACAAATACAAGGTAGTGGAAGACTGTTATGTTTGCTAAATGAAAATATTTTAAATTTAATTGAAAATTTTAAATGAAAATCATTGAAAAAATAATCAGTTTTAATTTAAATACGAAATTAATTTTAATTAAAATATTCTTGGGAACACACTTGCCGTAATTTCCTCATGTATAGTTATTAAATGAATAATATCAAAATTTAAATTTAAAATATAGATCGTTTAAGCTTCCAATATATTTTTCATTTTCAATTAAAGGAAATTTTCTGAGAATGCGTTCATTAATTTATTTTAATGGGATTTCCAACTTTATATAGCAATTTAAGTGCAATTTCATAATATGCTAACGATATTTTACTGTGTAAATATACAAAATAATAATATCATGGGAATCAAGTGATTTTCATACTATTTTTTTTTACGAATACAATGATAGCAGAATTTTTTTTTGTGAAGGATCAAGGATGTTTCTTTTATATACAATTCTTATTTTACAGCTTTTATATGAATTTTTCTGTTTTAAATAAAATTAATTTTCTTGTGCTCAGATCAAATGAGATGCTAGTGTTATGATGAAGATGATATGCTTTAAATCAGTAAATATAGTATTTTTAAAACGGAAAATGGAAAATGGAAAAAAAAGGATAAAGGACACTAGAGTTTCGTTTCATTCATTTTAAAATTATTAATTTTTTCTTTCTTTTTTTTTTTTGTGGTTGGTTAGTTGGTTGGCTTGGTTGGTCTGTGTTATGTGGATTTTTATTTATACAATATTGTACATATATTTTTCTATTGATATAATGTTATAACATGTATGTATGTATGTATGTATTAATGTTAAAAAATTGTTCAAGGCTATTCCCACAGGCCTGCTGTGCGATAATAAATAAAATATAAAAAGGAAAAATAGCATAATCAGAAAGAAAAAAGAAAAAATACGTAAAATAAAACAAAAATTAAAATAAAGAAAAAGAAAAACAAAAAATGGGAATGGAATTAGCGAAAAGCTTTTTAATGTCAAAATGCAGAATGAACGAAAATGAGGATTAAATGAAAAAGCATCAGGTTTAAATTCTACTGTTGTCTTATATACTTCATCACCACGAATTTTATCATCAATTCCATTACCCCTTGACTTAGTGCTCATTGTATTTTCTAATACTTTTTTAAGTCACTATGGAGTTGAGTTACTGTGAAAATATAAAAAGAACGAAAAATTGTTCGAAGTTCTCTATGTTCATCCCAGATGGAAGATTTTTATTTTTTTTTTGATTTTCCGTTTCTTTTTTTTACGTCAGAATATTTAAAGAATTTAATTTAAAATTTTTGTAAGAAAAATGGAAGGAAAATTTTGTTTTTGCTGTTAAATAATTTTGGACACAGTAAACGACAGGGACTTTGGGTTTCCAACTTTTAATTTATAGATTAATTAATATTCACTGTCAATATTAGGTTAAAATACACAGTGGATTTAAAATTCTTCAATAGTAATTTTTTTTAGAATAGCTTACTTTCTTTAATTTTAATAGTCAATTAAAAAAAAAATATATTTACTAAACATTTTAGAACTAGTTACTTTCACTCCTAGAACTCTTACTGTTACTCTCATAATTAATCAAATGGCTTTAAACTATTTAAAAATTAGTATTGCATTCAGTGTAAAAGACTTTCATATATTGAATATCGCGCATGTTGTACTGAACCGTAACGATTAATATGTATACAAGTTCAAATTGTAATTTGTGAATTTCAAGGAAATAGTGTCCGTGATTTGAAAATTACAGTAATACCGTATTGCTAAACAATTTAATAATTGCAACTAATAAGCAAAATTCGGTATTAATATTAAGATATTAAGCATTAAAATAATTTTGAAGTTAGTGTTGATATACATAAGAGGAACTGAATACCAAACGCTATTAGTATAAGAAGGCCTTTACAACTCTTTAGAAGTTGTAAAATAAAAATTAACTTTTATTCCACATAGTGTTAAAGTTTGAATTAATAATTTCTTCTATTTGAATTAATCATATATAAAAGAATTTTTCCTATTTTCTAGTTATTCTAAAAATTTCAAAAATATTCAAATAGTATTTAAAAAAAAAAAAAACAAATATTCACGAACAAAGCCCCGTTCCTTCACATTCTCTTTAGCGTAATATAAATTTTTCAAAAGAAAAGATTCTCTTCATTGCGTCGGATACAAATCTTTTTAACACTAAAGAGATATTAGAAAATAAATGGAAAAAAGAAAGGCAATGAATATGAGCAGTACAATATAAAACAAAAACAAAATATGTAACATTGCCGCCCGATTCTGAATTGGGATCTGTACTTAATGTGAATTACTGTCACGGGAACAGTTTTAGGTATTTAACTTGTCAAAATACAAAAAAGAAAAGTACAAAATCAGAGAAAAAAAATTTCGAAATTGTTTTTTTTTTTTTCTTTCATATTCATCTGTCGACTTGTCTGTACCCTCTTGCTACATACATATTTTTCCTCCTTTATTTATTTATTTTGATGTTTTCCTATTCACTTTTGGGCAATAATTTTTCTTCGTGATTTCTTTTCAACGTATTCATTACTTGTTTCGTGGAAAAACAAGTTACATGAGAATAAAAAAAAATGGAAAATTAAATATAGACTTTGATTACTGTAAAAGAAAAAAAAAACAATTTTTACGCCATCAAGTTTTCATGTAGGTATGTGCCTATGTACCTATTTCATAAAATTATTTAGATTTCATGAAATACTTAAGCAAAGTGTAAAATGTAACGCTTACGATAAAATGAAAGCAATGGGAATTCATTTAAGCAAAAAAAAATATTAATTTTTCCCTTCTATTTGGAACTTTTCATATGAAACGTACGTATTTCATAGATGATTGCACCTTGCTACTTACACATTGTAGATATATAAGTGTATAAATACAATGTGTGTGTGTTAAACATTGAAAAGAATTGTAAGGCTTTTAATTAGTTTTAAATAAGCCATAATCAATCTCGTGGAGATTTAAAAACTTTCAAAATTTTTTGAATTTTTTGAAATTATCGCAAAAGATCTTAATTATTTTATTTTTGGAAACAAAATTATTTTGAATAAATTTTAAAATAAAAATTTCCAGAAAGAAAAGACATCGCCACTTTTGAATTAATAAAATTGTACTTGAATATCATTGAACTCATTCACTTAGTTTTATAAGAGTTTTAAATATATTTAAGTATTTGAAAGAAGAGCTAAGCGGAATGAATTCCAATGTATTCCAATTTATTGTGATCTATTACCTTATACTCTTTAACAAATCATCAAAAAATTTACCGACAAATCTGCTATTTTGGAAAAAAATTTTTAGTGCTAACGCTTTCATTTACTGTAAATTTAAAATTATTAATATTCTCGAGAGTTCATGGAGAATTTCTTTTATAAAAAGTATATCGTTCTCTTCCATTATAATTTTAATTGTTCTGCCAGGATATATAAAAATTGCTATGCCGACAAACGACCTTCGTCAACGAAATAGCAATAATAACAATATAAATAAAACAAACACAGAAATTTTCCACCAAATTTAATGGATCCTTGTTGGAAGGAATGAAATTAAAATATAAGTTGAAAAAGAAAAAATCACAAAAAAAAAACAAGAAACAAAAAAGAACTCTTTATTTTCACTTTCCTTCACATTTTTTTTTCTTTTTGTTCTTGTTTTCTTCCTTCCTACCATTGTTTAGTCCTCATTGTTTTATATATATATATATTTTTTATTCTGTATCATTTATCCTGACAGGACTTCTCGTGTTTTACTACTTATGACTTTGATAAAAAAAAAAAGAAAATATGAAAAATAAAAAATCCTTTATTTTTTTCTCCTTCTATATAGTTGTCCTTTATGCTTTTAAGAGCATAAAGTTTAATGATTTTTGCTGTTATTTTTATAATTCATAATATTTTTTTGTTAAATCCCCGATATAAGAGATGTAAAACATTAAAGAAAATTAAATATTTTAAAAATTTTCGATAAGTCAAGAGGTGTAATGCAATTGAAAAAAAAATATCAAAAAATATCCAAGCTTTGTTTAAAAACTTATAAACTAAATTTTCATCTTTTAAAGGAGAAAATTGTTAATATCTAATTGTCTGTTCTAAATTGTTAACCATACAAAGCTCTACATTCTCTGCTTTCGAGAATTCCAAGGAAAATTCAAATATTATATCGTCTTCGCTTTAATGTATTAGGAACTCGACACCTATATTTTTTAGTTGGAATTATTGTTCACAGCAATAATTAATATATGTATCTATATAGATATTATAATATAGTTTATGTATGTATGTAATTTAATGTAAATGTACAAGCGAATATGATATTTCGCTAACAATAACATTTAAATTAAAATCTCAATTAAATTTAAGATTTCTCTTTCAAATTTGTATCTCTATATTAATGTTAAATTTCTCAAAAAGAATTGATATTTTTTTGAGCATATGAAATGAGCATTCAAACGGGAAAATTAATGTTATTCGTAATGTTATTATATACTATTACTTTCGCTTCTCTCTCTCCATGTTGGTGATGGGTTCAAAAAAGAATAAATTTCTTCATATACATGTTTATGAGTTAAAATTCATAAAAAAAAAAACAAAAATGTTTTGAGAGGGCGAGAAAGAGACAAATGAGCTCTATAATACTCTAGCGTAAAGCAAGATGAGTTGAATTAAATATTAGACTACAGAAGCAAAACAGTAAGATATTAAATGTAGGTGAAACAGTTCTTTTCTATATATAAAAATGTCTACTAATGTAGGGCAACAAAATAAAAAGGCAAAAAAAAAAAATAAAAATTATAATAGAAATAAGGGAACAAAAGAAAGAAAAAAACAAAAAAAAAATAAGAGCAAACAAATGCTGCTTTAAACTGAAAAAAAAATAATACAAATAAGCTTTTTTCTCGTTCTTTTTATTTTTCTCTCTTAACTCTCCCATATACAACAGCACGATTTTTTTTTTCTTAACGGTAGAATTAGCTTAGAGATTTAATATTAAATATTTTAACGATTTTATTATATTCTTTATTATAATGGTGGTATACTCGCTTATTCACTGTTTTATTATTAAATATTGAATTTTGTTTTTATACAAAGGTGGGTTTAAAAATTTTTTTTTACAAAAAGGAAAAACTTTCTTGTTTCCACTAATTAAATATTTAAATATCCCGGATAATATTTATAAATTCAACATAAAACAGAAAAGAAAAAAAAGTAAAAAGAATTTAAAAAAAAAGGAAAGTTTATTTTTTCCTTTCATAAATATTTAAAAAATATTTATGAATTATTACCTAATTAAATGTTAAAGGGGTTTTTAATATTTAAAATATTTTAATGGTAATTCAAAAATAAGTTAAAAGTTCTTGAAAGATAATGAAATATTAAGTGAACGCTACACGTTAGCGTAACATTTAGAAGGAATTGTAAGAAATCGACGAAAAATTAAAATTTGTCAAATACCGTACAAATAAGCCACAGCAGTAGCCACACGAAATCTTTCTCAAAACTCTTAATTATGATATTGTGGCTTAATAAAGACCGTTAATGAGATAGTAGCTATGCAGCAAGAATGTAGTCAAGATTTATTAACGAGTTTCACTATAATTTTTAAATTACAACTATTTTAATAGAACAAAATCTGATATTTTCGTGTAACTGCTGTCTTTAGTTGATGAAAACTCACTACTATACAATAACAGTTTTTAAAACTTCAATGCAACCTTCGTACATAAAATCTGAAGTCTAATAAGAACGTAATATGATAATTTGTGAACAAATTATTATGAGCTTGAAAGCATTTTAACTTTAATGATAAAAAATTACTGCAAATAACGACATAAGCGGTGATTTACGATTTAAAGTTTTCGTTTTTTTTTTGTATTGCGGCACTGTCATAAAAGTTAAATGATATAAGATTTCATTAATTTTTTTTCTTCTTCTCCAAGAAAGAAAAATAGAAGAGAGAAAAAGAGCAACAAAAATTTTAAATTCAAAAAAAAAAAAATAGAGAAAAGAAATAAAAACAACAAAAAACTGACAAGAATAAATTGAGGTTTTAAACGTTTTCATTTAATGGATGTCTTGTTGCATTAGCGATGCAAAAATTTTCTCACTAATAAAATTTACATAATGGACTGCTTTCTACTAAAAAAAAGCTTACTATAAAAGCTTAATAATATTTGTTGCGCTATTTTGTTTTCTGATCTTAATTGGTAGCGATTTTTTTTTTTTTTTGATATTATGATTTTAAAACGAATATTTTAAACGCTAAAAAAAAAACTAAAATTTGAAATTTATGAAAAAAATTAAATTTTAATAGAGCAAAAGTAAAATGGTAAATAAATTTTTAAAATTGAATTTTGATTAATCGAAAAGAATGTTTGAGCTTCTCTATGTCCTTTTTTTATATGTGTATAATATTATTTTCTATTTATACGTACGACATGAATTTGATTATATTCCAAATATTTTTATATTCCAAAATTATAATTTGTTATTACGAAAATAACAACACTATAGCTGCACAATCAAAATAATTTTAAATAATATTTAAAAGAAATTCATTACATGAAATATAGTCCAAAGTAATATTCGATGCGCCGTATTTTATGCAATATTTATTAAAAGGAAAATTTTTTTTTTATAAATTTTATTAATATTAGCTAGCTATAAAACAATTGAAAAAATTTATTACATTTGTTATTAAGCAAGATTGATCCGTTTCTGAACAGAAAATTCTAATTAAATTATTATACGGAACATAATAATCTTATATTTTTTCTTTAAAGAGATTTGAAGGGTAAGTACCCACATTTTAATTATTTATATTTTATTACTTTAATTATTGTTATTTATTCAAGTATGTTTTTAATATTTACAATGTCATTTTATATTGGCAAAATCAATATTAATAGATTTTAAATTAAATACTAAAAAGTAATTAATTCTTGAAGTGAATTCTAATACCCACAACATCAAACATTTTGTGATAATTAATTTCAATTGCTTGTTTCCAAGAAATATTTTACAGCTGTGGTAATTTAATTAATTCCTGTTTACACATTTTCAATTCGATTCGATTCTAATTCGATTCGAAAATCGCAAATCTATTCTATTTAAACCAAACAAATGCAATTTAATCTAATAGACTGACATTTTCTATATTACTGAAAGTTTTACTAGAATTTTAAGAGGCATTTAAGGCATTAAGGCGAGAAAACAGCTTCACTGAATCAGGAATATAATCATTATCATGAATACAATTTTTACTATAGATAAAAAAAAAAGGAAATAGAAAAATGCTCTTATGATAAATATTTAAAAGAAAATTAAAATAAAGGAAAGCTAACAAATTTCAATAAGAATCAAAAAAACCAAATTTACAAAAAAAAAAAAAAAAAAAACTTTACAATAATTTTGCAAAGAGTATAAACAAATTTTCATAAATTTTTTCTAGACAGGATGAATTTCAAATTTCAATTTTTTTTTTTTTTTTTTTTTTTTTTTGGTCAAAATTAACAATAATAATAGCTCACAATTGGCATAACGTTGGCCTGTATTTTTTTTCTCGTGAATTTTCTCTTGTATGGAACCCATAGTGTGTATAGGGAAACAATATAGAATTAAAAGTTTTTTTTTGGTAGAAATCATAAAAAAAAAATATTTTAAAAAATATTAAAATTTTTTTTTGTTTTTTTTTTTTTTTGCAAAACAAAAATTATAGTAAAGTATAATTATACATACATTATTTTATTTTAATATATTTTGTTTTTTTTTTTTATAATAAAATATTGAAATATTTAAAAAAAGAAAATATTTTTGTATTTTTTTGTATATATATATAAATCATTAAAAATCAAATATATATTTACATATATATGTACATATAAATGTGAATATTATATAATTCATATAATAATTAAATTAATTAAAAAAATTTTTAATTTTTTTTTTTTTTCGTTTCATTTTCAAAAAAAAAAAAGAGAAAACATAAAAATAGAAAAAAAATAAGAAGAAAAATTTTACAATTTATCCTTACCACTGATATATTTCTGTAACTGAGTAGTAGATGCGGTGGTATACGATTAACATGACAACTCTTATACAATGGTTGAAATCGGATATTTCCGTGTTCATCTAGAGCGAAAATAGAAGAAAATATATTAAAAAAGAATGCGAAAAAAGAGTATATAAAAAGAAATTAAACTGACAAGGCACAAAAAAAGAAAAAAAAATTTTTTTTTTATACAACTCTTTTTAATTGATATTTTGTCCTTGGTATAACTATTATAAAAAAAAAAAAGAATTAAAAAACAAAAAATACAATAATGTTACGAGAAAAGTAAATTATGAGATTAATTAGTAAAATAATTACTCCTATTATATAATGACATAATTGCCGTATGAAATGTGAATTATTAAAAAATATGGAGGAATTTTTTTTTTTTTTTCATAATTTTTATGTCACTGCTGTAAAATGTGTAGTCGAATTAAATGAAGGTTTATTACAATGAAATAAATTTATTTTTTTGGCAAATATTTGCAATTATTTTTTTTTTTTTGCATAAAATGAATAGAGCAATTTGCCATACATTTATTTACCTATATAATGAAAAATAATCATTAATTTTTACACTTACACTTGATTTACGAATTCATCGCCTTAATATTATACGAGTATATAATATGAATAAATATATGTATTAAAACTTTTATTCTTAAAATTATATAATACAATTTAATATGCTTGTATTTAAAACGTAGCAGAATAATAAATGGTTCTTTTTTTTTTAAAATTTAATGTAGTTTATAAATAAATTCTGATTTTTGTAATGAATATTTCTGATATAATATTTTTTTTGTTTTGAGATTTTGAGTGAAATATGATTAAATGGAATCGTAAATGCATATAATATATGATATCAAGTGTAATGGAGGCGCTTTTATTTAATTAATTATTAATAAATGAGATTCCATATAATTTATTAATTTCTTTTATTATATTTATATAATAATTTATAAAATAATTACTTACATATTACAGCCATTGAAATTTATTTTATTTTATATATTTTTTTTTTTTTTTGAAAAACGAATATTAAAATTAATAAGCTAAAAAAATGTACTAATAAACTTAATCATAAAATATTTCTAAAATGTAAGTATATAATTATAAACCTATATCATAAATAATTATATATAATAGAAGAAAATTTGAAAATAATTTAATTTTTATTATACATATATGATTTGAATTGCTTTAAAGCTGCCCTTGAGTCAAGATATATATTGTAAATATTTAAATATATATAAAATAAAAATATAAAGTTTACATGGACTATAAAGCAAATATTATTAATTCAGATGATCTCGTATAACTTTAAAATATTTAATGAAATTTAATAAAATTATATTTAATTTCAATTAAATATTATTTTTAAAAGAATTTAAAGTCAAAAATAAAACAAAATTTATAATTAATTAAAAGCATAAAAATTTAAAATGGAAAATCATTAAAAAAATTATTTTTTTTCCTTGTACATATATAAAAATTATGATTTATGTAAGTTAATTGGAATTAATTAGAGCATAATTTTTGCATTTTCAATGCATTAATGCATTAAAATAAATAAATTATTGAAATAATTTTATAAAATAAATTACAGATTATTAAAAATTTAAAAAAAAAAATTATTGAAAATATTAATAAAAAAGAAAAAAGAAATTCTGAAACTTGAACTTTCAGAAAAATATGAAATTTTTATTTAAATTTATTTTTTAAATTTTTAATAGTATATTTTGTCCTTATAGTTCTTATGCATAATATTTTATAATATCTCAGAAGAAATTAAATGGAGGAGAGAATATATTTTTATGGTGTAAATTAAAATATATCTTGAACTTTTTATGAACAAAATATAAGTATAAAAGAAAATATAAAATAAAAATTTACAAAAAGAAATTGCAAAAGATTTCAAGGAAAAATTAAGATCATTTAATTGAAATTAAATTCGCATTGGTTTATGTTGTTGCTCTATAACGTATAAATTTGTCGAACCGGTTCTTGATTTTAATTTTATTGGGTGAAAATTACGAGTTATAAAATCGTCATTATTGCAATTTAAATGAAACAAATTATAAAAGTGTAACATTTTGATATTTTTAATAGGCAAACAAATTCTAAAGTGATTTTTTGAAAAATTTATAACATTTTCATTATAGCGGACCAGAGCTCTTTAAGAAGTTCACTATTCCGTCATAATAAAAACTTTTAAAATTTTCAATAGAAAATAAAAAATTACTAAATAGATCTTACTATTCTTACAAATTATAAACATTAATTTAAAAAAAAAAAAAAATTTAATTTTAATTTTTGAACTTTCAAACTGTACCTAGAACCCATAATAAATCATTTGCATTTTAATATAATGAAGAAAAAAAATTAAAAAAAAAAAAATAATATAAAAAAAAAAACCCCAGAATTCATTTCTATAATTCCCTTTGCAATTATAGTCCTTATAAACTTTTCAAAAAAAAACAAAATAAAACAAAAAAAAAAGAGCAAATATACCCGAGGCTTTGATTTATCACATAAAAGCATTAAAGAAATTAAATTTACCCACATTCATTTTTTTTATGTGATTTTTGAAATAAAATTAATAGACGAGAGAGAAAATAACAAAAAAAAAAAAAAGAAATACAACTCTTCTTAAAAAAATTTATTGACTATTTTTTTAAATATTTTATTATTCAATATTTAAAATGAATATATATATATATGTATATACTCATACTTACATATATGCATACATATACATACCCTCTTCATTTGTAGCACATAATGGTCCAACCCATTTTCCTTTAACACATCTTAATTTACATAATCTTCTATCACCTAGTGGTCCAACTTCACCGGGGAATCGAATTTCAGATACTTCTTGGAAACGTGATTCTTCATCACTTTCTTCTTCATCTTCTTCTTCTTCCGATTCCTCTTCTGGTGTATACTGCCCGAAACCACCATCGCCATCACCATCGTGACCTTTATCTAAAGAACGAAGTGAAAAATTACATAAAAAAAAAAAAAATTAAAATTCAAAAGTTTAAAAGGCAATTTAAAAAATAAGAATTTTATAAATTTTTTTATGTACATGTAAAGTAAATACTTGTTATATATACATATATACAATTATTTATTTTGAATTTTGAAAACGATAAAATGGAAAATATGCCAAAACCAATACAAAAAATTATAAAATCAATTTTATAGAAAATACGAAAGAATTAAATAAATTTTTTGTATCTTCGTTTAATGTACACGTATTTTTTTTTGGAAACACAGTAAAGTCTTTATAATACGAACTTTTGTAATCGCCTTTGTTATGCTTATTGCATGGAATACCTTACACTCAGATTAATACAGATTAGTTGTAACTAAATAATCCGCCAGAATAAGTAAAACTGAACAAGCTAACTCACGGTTGTAGTTGTTATAAAAAATTACTTGTATACGTTACGGTTAGTAAATTTACTTGTATGAAATTTTGACATTGAAGTTTATTTGAAAAACGTCAACGTTTTTCAAGAAATTAGACAAAATAAAATTACATGAGAATTTTCAACTTTATTTCATTTAAATTACAAAATTTTCCGGAGCAATTTAATTATTTGGTGTGCATGTCTTAATAATATAAGAATTCTTATTTCTTTAAATGAAAATCAACATATTATACATTATGTCACTGTACGCAAAAATTCTAGAATTTTTTACAACTCACCAAAAAGTATAATTAGTTCAAATACTCAAATTTTAACTCACAAGTCACAACCACAAATGTTCCATTGTATTTCTTTGTAGTAAACAAGAACAAATATTTTAATATTGGAAGGGAATATACAAAAATTGGCAATCGTACATGAATTTAATTCAAGGACACTTTAGTAAAACCACATAACTGAATTATAACGAAATGAGAAAAAATCATTTATGTTTCCTTATTGCCGTTTTTTGCTTGCTTAACCTCGATACATTTCTTCAATGAATTGCAGAAATTTTCTTAAATTTTTACAGAAATTGAAATTTTCAATGAAATATCAAATCGCGTGCCTATAAGATTTCTGTTATTAGACTATGAATAAATTGGTTTTTAAAAATTTAATTTTTTTTTAATATTTTGAATTTAAAATGAAATTATTTACCAATTTTTTGTCAATAATACACGCATTATACAAAATTTTTCTTCCTTGTATTGATTAATATTAAAAAAAAATATTAACATACTTTCTTGAAAAATAGCGTCATGTGTCCAAAATTATTTAAAAGTTTTTATTAACATATTGTATAAAAAATTTTTTTATAAGACCATTCGTTAAAAGCTCGTTGGTAATCCAAAAATAATTACGTTGCAGTTTTTATAATATAGATGAAATGGAAGATTATAATATTTAAAATTTCTTGCAAATGAATGTTGATAGGATTTGGCCAGCGCAGCTACGCATAACCTATTGGATTTCATAATCACGATATCCAAGGTTTCAAGATGTACTATGATTATATACTTTAGCACATTAGACAATCATTTCTGAATACTAAAAACGTAAACCGATATGATTTACCTCTTCATTTACGATAAATCATCTATACGATCTGGTAGGTAGTGCTTAGCAGTCAAAAAGATGTGTTTGGTGGTCTTGTCACTGGCCCTACCTTGAAAACAAATTTCATCATAAAAGCTTATTTAGGTTACCTTTTAGCCTCCTGATTAAAAATCAATAAAGACTGCTGTAATAGAATTGAACGGAGTAAATCTGGAGAATGTTTTCGGCGTACCTATTCATTCCAGTTCGAAAATATGCTCCTAAATAAGTTGTTTTTTAAAGAAACATTTTTTTTTATTTTTAAAAATTTAAATGTTTTATGCAAAATAAACGAAACCGGCGGACTCTTATTCTTGTTACAAACCAATAATTTATTCCGAATTTCAGTATTTCTCGGCTTGAGGAATTGTTTTAAAAATCGCGACCGTTTAGTTCTATACATCATGATAGATCCGCAAATAAAATTTTAAATTAACCCCAAATCTTTTTTCATCTAATTTAAATTATAACACGAGATCAAATCTTTAATATCTTTTTCTTTAGGTATACAAATGCCAAAAAAGATGGATGGACACTAAAAAAACAAAAATTAAGTCACAAAATTTTTCTTTTTTAATCCTCGAAACTTTTCTTTTCTTGAAAGTTTTCCAAAAAAAAAAAAAAAAAACAAAAATAGGACATAAAATATTATAAAATTTTAAATTTATCAATCAATTTGTCATTTGATCAGATTAAAACTAGGCTAGCAAAATAAAGAACGTATAAGAAAATCGAAATAAAAATTGGTAAAGGATAAAGTATAAATATTCATGTGCACATGAGAATACGTGTTTGTATGGATATATGCGGATATATTATCGGAACTTGTATAAAATACTAAAATTTCGAAACTTTTCCAAACAAAAAGAAAGATGTGATTTAAAATTTTCCATTAGAAAAAAAAATTTTTTTTTAGAAAAATTTATTGAATTTCTTGTAACTTATTTATTATAAATTGTATAAAAAGAGAACCTTAACACCCCGAACGAACATAAAGTAGATTTGCAATTATCCAAAATAGATTTTGGTGCAACTCTAGTTTCGCTTGACCTGAAAAACCCTTAATACTACTCGTTTTTGGGTCATACTGTTTGAAAATCTTGAAATTGCATTTAAAAAATAACGTTAAGATCCTAATTTTTGGTTAATACTGTTTATAACTTTAACAGTATGTAACAGTAGTGATCGTGTAAATTTTGTGAAATAGTAAAATTATTTTTGAAGCTGTTTTGGTGTAGTTCCGCAATTTTAACTTCTTTTACAGATAATAAAATATTGCATATATCTAGGCTTACTAAAAGATCTTCGAATTAAATTATGGCAATTATTGGAAGGAAACTTATCTATCTTATAAAAATTTAAATCAAAATATATTCAAATATTACTCGATGAGGAAATTTTGAGGAGATTCTCGATGTCATTCATATTCATCTATACATATAACGTATATATGTAACTGAACAACAACATTACAACATTAGCAATTTTAAAATTTTCATTTTACATTGCTTTCATTTATATTCTACGGCCCTAAATAACCAATTTATTTAAACATATCCCTGAATAATTTACGAATTTATTAAAAAAATATTTTGTATTCCGATCTTTTCGGTTATAATAAATGTAGGTAATAATATAAAAGAGAAAATTTTCTTGTAAAAAAAAAATTAAATGAAATTTTAAAATTAAAATCCAATGCAAAGCATTTACTTGAACTACAAAAAATATGGTGTCTACATACATATAAAAATTTACATTCGTTTTAAAATTCATATTCATCAGCTAATGTTATTTAATAGATGAAAATTCAGGTTCAAACCCTCTAAATATTTTCACATTAATCCGATTCAGTTGTTGATCCGATCAAAAAGGATTTTGCTTTAAAATGTTCCTTTTTTCTTGCTTCTTTTTTGTTTTCATTATTAAATTTTTCTAAAAATTAGTTGATGAAATTAAAATAATAATAACTGTGGTTATTTTAACATTTTCGAAAATTTACTTCCAACAAATAAACATGGGATTATTAAATAATATATTAAAAAAAGGCCTCTAAAAGTGACCTCATTAATAGCTTTCTATAAGAGACTCTTATAAATAAAAAATTTACAAGAATTTTGGGCAGGGCAGGATTTTTCCAATTTAACAAAACCCTGAAAGCAAAATTGAAACATTCAAACGAAAATTATTGTACACAAGAAGGTCGCTGCAAATTTTCCAAAATTACCAAATTTACACTACAATAAATTAGCATGAAATTTTTAAATTACCTTTTCGAAATTAAAGGATTCCGAAATGAAAATATTTTGTAAATTTTCAAGTCAGTAATACACAAATATGGTTCTAAAAATTCTAAAAAAATTTCAGAATATCTTGCGTTTATATTCTGAAATTTTTTTAACTACATACAATACGATTTGAAATACATCCAAAAATTTCAATGACATGACTGCACTGCTCAGTCAATGCCATATAACAGCTGCCATGTAACTCCACAAGCTTATTTTAGATATTCGGAAAAATAATAAAGTTAGGTTCATAAGATTTGGCAGTCATGTGTCCAATTATAGGTAATATATGTCCTTGCAGTTGACAGGTTCAAGTAACTGTCATACAACCATGAAAGCTAATTCTAAATATTTGAAAAACAAATTTTTATACTCAGATTATTAATGTTTTTACTTGTTTTAATTTTATTCCAATGGCTTTTATGAAATAAGTTTACGAAAATATACGAAAGCGGATAAAGCACTGAGTAATGCTCTTAAAATAAGAGTATTTTTATATATGCTATCATTTAATTTTATTGTGAAAGTAAATTTCGGAATACAGTAAAGTGAGGATGAAATGAAATTTTTCTATTTGAAAGGTTTGATTTTACAAATCAAAGCATAATTTCTTTTAATTTTCTAATATTTTACATACCTACTTGAATAAAGCAAATTTAAAAGTGGAAAATAAATATCTGAAACTCTCGTATACCAATATACTGTTTACGTATTACAAGACCTCTTAATAATAAAACTGTTTGTTATAGTTTATACATAAATAATTCTGTTATATAAAATTCTACACAGAATCACTTTAATATTATGCAAAATTTTTTAATAAATTTGCATATATACTTAAAATATCATTTAAATCGTATAAAATTTCAAAATTTTGTTTTCCAATGAAACAATTATAACAGATCAATTTTCATTTCTTATGTAATATATTCATTATTGTGTCCTTCATCGTCCATTTATATCCAATATGCAAATTTCGATAAATCCTTTTAAGTATCATTGATTTCGATTTTCATTTTCAAATGATATAGGCTATTATTTATTAATATATATATATATATATATATTTATATATATTTATATAAGTATATAATACGAAAATTCATTCTACATAATACAGAGATAT